CAGGAGACCAAGAAGAAGAAGAAAAGAAGGAAGAAGAAGGAGAAGAGGAAGAAGAATAAGAGGCAACTGAGTTAAGGCCTCAACAAAACTTAGCTTCAGTCGAGTGAAGCTTTCTATTTATACTATTCTGGCCGTACATAACAATATGTCTACAGAATTACGAAAATACCCCTACAGGTACTAAGCATGTGTACAATACATAAAATACACCTGTTAACAGTTGTCAAGGTGACGCCTAGGCGACAAGGTGCCCTTTGAGGCTCGCCTCGCCTAATCGCCAAGCAGTTTTTTACTTCCTACTATAAAATACTTTTTTGTTCATTCTTTTTTGAGATTATAATTATAAAATAGACATTATTAAATTAAAATAATCATTTTCTGTGTTTGTATACTAATTTCTTTTTATTGATTTCTTATTTATTAGGGTTTAATCAACACAAACATTGCTAAATGCTGTATTGAACCCTCAAAGACTTCAAAACCTGAACCAATAAGTAAAATTTTATCTAGTCAACACATTTTATTCTTCCATATATTCTTCCTCTTCTTCTTCTTCTTCTACTACTACTACTATTACTACTACTACTACCATTACTTTTTCTTTTCTTCTTTTCCTATAACAAAAATAAGGGTTCATCYCCTATATTTTTTSAATTTTATTTTCCTTCTTTTTCTTCTCATGAATATGTTGATTTTCTATACTTTAATATGAACTTTATACATTTCTTATGAAAATTATGAATAATTATTAAGGAAATATGGTTATGGTACCTAGGGAACTACCCTAGGATCTATGTTTTCAACATAAAAAAATCCATCACCTAGGCGCCGCCTAGGCGACTAGCCTCGCCTTGGTGCCTTGAAAACTACGCCCGCATCAAAATATTCCGATCAGACAATGCTAAGGAATATTTTGAGAAGGACCTTACCTCCTATCTTGAGAAGTTTGGGGTTATTCATTAGAGATTTTGTGCCCACACTCCACAACAAAATGGAGTAGCGGAGAGGAAAAACAGACACATTGTGGAAGTTGCAAGGAGCATTCTTTTTCCTACCCATGTTCCTGTGAAGTTTTGGGATGATGCAGTTTTAACAACTACCTACCTTCCTACCTTATTAACCGCATGCCTTCTCGAGTTTTGGGGTTAAAATCTCCTTTTGGAGTCTTCTTTCCTGATGTTGAGATTTTCTCTATTCCTCCGAGGGTCTTTGGTTGCACTTGTTATGTCCACATTCGCAGTTCCAAAAGACACAAGTTTGACCCCAAGGCTTAGAAGTGTATTTTTCTTGGTTATGCCTCCATATAGAAAGGGTACTATTATTTTGATCCCATTAGTGGCACCCAGTTTATTTCTATAGATGTCACCTTTGTAGAGTCATTTCCTTTTTATAGCCATCCTTCTGAGGGGGAGAGATCTTTCGAGTTGTTTTCTTCATCCCTTCCTTTGCCAACTCCAGTTGAGTCTTATGTCGAGCCCTCCACAATTACCCCCATTCCCGTGGAGGGATCCTCTCTTTTGCGGTCTTCCACTCCTGCTCCTCCCCCTCCTGCTAGTCCTCCAGTTGTTTCCACTCATCCTATTCTCCAGAGGTGGTACCAGCGGCAAAGGCTAAGGCAAACACAGGTTGATCCCACACCTCCAGTTGAGTCTCAAGCACTCCCGATTACTGAAGAGAGGACATGTCCATCACCTCCTCCACCAGCACCCTCGTTTTCAGACCTTAACCTACCCATTGCTTTGAGAAAAGGTAAGAGGAAATGTACAACACATTGTATTTCCAAACACCTTTCCTACATCTTGTTATCCCCATCCTACTATACCTTTCTAGCCTCCATTTCCTCTCAATCCATCCCAAAGTCTATTTCAGAAGCCTTAGCAACACCAGATTGGAGGGATGCTATGAGTACTGAAATAAAAGCCCTTCATAAAAACAATACTTGGGAAATTGTTGACTTGCCAGCTGGGAGGGAACCTGTTAGGGGCAAGTGGGTTTTCACTATCAAGTATCATGCAGATGGGTCAATTGAGAGGTATAAGGCTCAGCTTGTTGCCAAGGGATATACTCAGGTATATGGGATAGATTACATTGAGACATTTTCTCCAGTTTCTAAGATGACTTCGGTGAGAGTTCGTTTATCCTTAGTAGTGAGCTATGATTGGCCTCCGTATCAATTTAATGTTAAGAATGCATTCCTGAATGGTGATCTCATTGAAGAGGAATATATGTCCCTTTCTCCTGGTATATATGGCAAGGAAATGTAGGGTAAGGTGTGTAGATTGAAGAAATCACTTTATGGTCTGAAACAATCCCCACGTGCTTAGTTTGACAGATCTAGGGCTGCTCTTATTCAGTTCGGCTACATACAGGAGAAGTTAGTGCTCTCAAGAAGTTCCTCAGTTCTGAATTTGAAATTAAAGATTTAGGGGAGTTATAGTATTTTCTGGGCATTGAGGTTGCTAAGTCCAAGGAAGGTATCTTTGTTTCTCAACGGAAGTATGTGCTAGACCTTCTTACTGAGACTAGAAATCTTGGTGCTAAACCTGCCTATACCCCTATTGATGTGAATCATAAACTCTTAGCTAATGATGGAAAACTTTTAGATGACAAGGGAGTGTTTTAGAGATTATTACGGAAACTGCTTTATTTATGTATGACTCGTCCAGACATTTCATATGTTGTGAGTGTCATCAGCCAGTTCATGCATGCTCCCAAAGACATACATATGGCTACTGCAGAAAGGGTGTTATATTATTTGCTAAACATGGACACATGAAGGTAGAAGCATATACAGATGCTGATTGGGTAGGAAATGTGGATGATAGGAGATCCACATCAGGATATTGTGCTATGGTAGCCAGAAATATTGTTTCCTAGAGAAGCAAAAAGCAATCAGTGGTTGACAAATCTTTAGCTGAGGCAGAGTATAGAGCTATGGTCCATGGTGTTTCTAAGTTGTTATGGCTTAGATCTCTCATTAATGAGATGGGTGTTTCATGTGACGAGCCACTGATGTTGTATTGTGATAACCAAGCTGCTATTAACATTGCTCATAACCCAGTTCAACATGATAGAACTAAGCACATTGAGGTAGACAGGCACTTTATACGGGAGAGAGTGGCTTCAGGAAAGGTGTGCCTACCTTTCATCGCATCAGAAGAGCAGCTAGCAGATTTTCTAACTACGGGAGTCCCAAAGGCAAAGCTTCAACATTATGTAAGCAAGCTGGGCATGATTGACATCTATGCTCAGCTTGAGGGGGAGTGTAGTGAGAATGGGCCTTGGTGTTCTTTATTTCTTCTAAGTAGTATTTAAAAGTTATGTTTCTTAGCTATGGGCCTTATGGGCCTTCTTTTATTTTCTTTAATTATTTCTTTAGTGCTGGCCACCCCCATTAAGGGCATCCAAGTAATTGTACCCAGACTTGAAATTATTAATAAAAGTGATGAAAGGGGGGCTAGAGAGAGAGGTTTGGATTCTTCTTTTCTCTCTTCCCTTCTTTTCTTCTTTCACAACCTATTGCTGAAACTTCTTTCTTCTTTCTTTTCCTCTCTTTTCTTCTTTTCTTGCATTATCTGAATTACTATAGGTGTAATTTTCAACTAAATTAAATGAAAGTTATTTTATTTCAATTGTTTGCATGAGATGATAAGTTGGTCTAGTGGTCTAGGGCATAATTTGAATGTAGGCAAGTTGGGTTCAAGTCACACTAGCCCTGAAATTTGTTTTTTAATAAAGAAATTTATGACACAAAATTTGAAATTCAAAAATAAAGATCACATCTCTATGTATCTATGTATCAGTTTGATATGCACCGATTCAATGCTATACAGGTGAATATGCATTGGCACTACACCCCGTATCGGTAGTATCATATCAATATTTTGATCCTTGATAAAAAAATCTCACATCCAGACAAAGGCAATGAGTAGAGAGACCATTCCAAGGAGAGGCAAAGAAGGCAATTTTTAACATGGATAAAGATAAAATTCAATGGCAGCATAGACTTGCTTAGAGTGAAAAAAAAAAGAAAACAAAGTAAGCCAACTTGATCCATATATTCATTAATGCTTATATATAAACTTTCATTTATGTCCATTAATTCCTGAGATGCTTCACAGTAACATAACTAACATTACCAACTTAAGGATTTACCTTAAAATGTTCTATTGGATGCTTCATCTCATCAATTTTGATTTGATCCTGTAATTTCATAATTAACAACCTTAGAAGAAACTAAGATTTGATCATTACTACAAGCATTTGCATGTCAAATATATGAAAGATGCAAATCTAAGTCTCAAAAGATATTAAGATTACATTAGCAACAACAAGCAAGTCTTGAAAGTTTCTTAAGCAAAGAAATCAAGTGAAGAAACTTTAATCTTTTCATCAAAAAAGAACTTAAAAGATGCAATTGGAAGTCATTTCCAAACTTCAAGATAAACTAAATGCCTTTGCAAAAACAGATTATATGGTTATCCTCTACCAAAAAGGGTAAGAGATAGAAAAGGAAAAATATATAGATCATCAACCACATTAAAATGCAACCATTTAAATTTATAATTTTTCACAACTAATAGAAGCCCCCCATGGGTACCTTTCAAATGCTTTAGTGGTGAAGGTAAAAGATTTTTTTCCAGTTAATTTCAAAATAAATAAGAACAAGAGCAAAGATGCTGAGTGATACTTTCAAGCGTTAAATGCTCATTTTGGGAGCTCATTTTAGAAGATAATATTTCTGTTGCCAAGAACTTTCATTGTTCATAACTTTCAGTTAAGATGTTAAGAATATGAGACACAATTTCTTTTTCAAGGAAATCAGTGTGGAGAGTCTCTTGATGTATCGTACTAGTATAGTCCCTGGTGTACCTTGTACTTCACATATATTCTTTTATTTTCTTTTCTTGTAATTGTACATATCTTTAATAGGGGTTGAATCATTCTTGGCACCCCTGAAACTGGATGTTCTCTCTATTCAAACCAGCTAGTTCACACTCGGGAGATCCTACGTGGAAAACATTTCCTGTTACCAAGTGACATTTATTTGCATCTCTTCTGGGTGATATTTACCCATTGACCATAAAAGCATCATTTCTTTTTCTCAAAATTTTCTTCCTTTCTAGATAAACTTCATGCTGAAGAATGCTATGGGTATGCTTTACCTAGTAATTTCACCCTTATCCAAGTCCGTTGCCTTTTTTATGAAGATAATGGCGTAATGCAATGACACCGCCAAGCTCTTCAGCAAAGGTTATAAACTCATTTCAATAAGTTAAGTATATTTAGGTAGATAATTCTTCAAAATTCTGAACTAATGATGTTTAAACTTCTACTATAAAATGCAAGTAATGTATAAATCCTCTCACATAAACTTCTTATGTCAGTATTCACTGTATTATGAGTTCTTTAATGATAAGATATACAAGCTGCAAATGAATGAGATGTTTAAGTTCAATAAAAAATTAAGACAAATCAAATTACTTGAATACAACAACAAAACACACCAGTAACCATGCATATGCATCAACTGAAAAGATTCAGACTATTTCATTTACTTTTTAAATACAGTCTGTATGTTGTAACATTATACTGAATGGGAAAGTACTCTACAAGGCTAAAAAAGATCAAAGTTCAAACATGATAGGAAATTTTACAAGGTATTTTTGTATAGAACTCTTTATATAGAAAGCATTGGTATGTATTGATCAACATCATGAATCCTGTTTGTGAAAAAAAAAAAAGGAATCGTGAATACTGCTTTCCATATGTAGAGCACAAACTTGTTTTAATATAATAGCACCAGTTAAGCCTTATTTCACTAAGAATAACGACCATGCCTTGAAAAATTCAATGAACTTTGGTATATCTTTAGAAGATTCAACTGAACTCATCCGCTTTCCTTGTTTCTCAGAGATGCTCTGCAAAAGTTCTTTAGCCCCTGTACCCCAAAGCATCATCAGATTACATCCCATACAACAGTAAATAAAGTATATTAGAATAGTAACCAAATAGCATCAGCAGGTTTCAAGAATACAAAGTTCTGATAGGCATTTCTTGAAGAATTCGTTTCTTGTTGATAATAAACATTTAAGTTGATTAAACAGTGTACATAGTAAATGTGATTAAAAATAATTCTTGCTTCATTTCACAATATCAAAATTGAACCAAATTATATGTATAAAGACCTGTCAATTTTCTATGTTTCTTGGGCCCATACAACTTTAAAATGGAGATGTGAAAAGGAAAATGTTATCTGGCAAATCAACAGCAATCTGATTACCCTGCTAGTTTCTTTCAGTTATTCTTTTAGATTTCAGAATGACCTCCTAAAAAAGTTTGCATATTTCCAAAGAAAGTAAAATGCTGAAATTCAGTTGATAAGGCTTTTTATAGATTGCACCTTGATTCACTGTTTTATCACAGGAAAAATTGATTCATGGGATCTACCTTTTTCTACTCTTGCTATAATTGGACTACAGAGCGAATACTGTAAATCTTGAATTCTTGAATAAACCAATATTCACAACTAGGTTTCTTTTGACACATTTTGTTGGTATTTTCCAGTCTCCAAATTAGGTATCTTGATTATCAAATTGAAGTGCAGGATGAGTAAATTCCAAAAGAAATGGTTGTGTCCCATAACCAATGCCCCAGGAAGCCATCGTGTTAACTCCCCCAAGTGGCCTAGTTGGCTCCACTTCCAAGCATTGGGAAACACATAACGGAGATAACTCAAAATATGCATGTCTTATGAGTCAAGTGACTGATCCCTTAAACTCAACTTGCAGTCACTTGAAGTGTTTGGATTTTCACTTACCAGATTATAGTTATTTGTTTTTAGATTTATAACTTGTGATTAAGGGAGGTATAAGATTACTACAAATTATAACTACAAAATGGTAATTCATAAATGTAGAAATATTTAAGTTTTAATGTATGGTGGGTATATTTGTAGTTTACACACACACACACACACACATAAATTCTATTTATAATCAAATCATAATGTACAGAGTTACAAGCAATTCTTTGTATAGGTAGTGAGTGCTACCTCCCCCAAGTATACAGTAAGTAACTAAAGTTGAGTCCAATACAAAGAAACCTTGTTAACCCCATATTTGACTAAAGAATCAGATAGCCTATTTGCTGATCTCTGCACCCACTGAACTTTTACTTCCATGTTCCTAGTCAGCCATTTGATCTTCTTTAGCCCATCCTGTATTCCCAAGTTGCTTTCTCATTGTCCATCAGCCATCCAACCACAACCATGGAATCATCCTCTATTTTCTTTTTGAAAAGTAAAATAAAAATTTCATAAAATAAAAAGAAGATTACATAAGGAAGGTGATAAGATATCACCTGAGAGAAAACATGGCTACTGACTCAGAAACTCCACCAACTACAAGACTTAAAAATAAAAAGAAGACTTCAAAACAATCATCAGCAATCCTATCAGAACCAAGGCCCTAATCTTCCCCTTACTTGTTTAGTAGGGACGGAGATCAGTCCTAGTCTAGATGAGAATTTCAACAAGAAAACCACAGAATGAAATAGGGAGAAAGAGAGAAGAGAGAGAGAGAGAGAGAGGAACGAAGAGAAAGAATTTCAGAGAAAGAGTGGAATCGGTGACTTGCCGCCCCACTCAATTATATATATATATTAAAGATTTAAAAGCATGGTTTCAAATGTTGCAACATTTCGCTAATGTCGCCCGATATATGTCGATATCGAGGCTCACCGACATGAAAATGGATGGTAATATAAAAATTACATTATTTCGGTCGACATTTCCTATATTTCGGAAATGTTGACCAAATCAGTCCAAATAACAAAAAAAAAGACATTTTTTCCTATTATGTCGACTAATGTACATTAATAATATAACATATTAGTATATTATATTAATATAATACAGTATATTAATATAAATTATTCCATTAATAATTTCTATTTAATATTTCAAATAAAATATTTATAAAAAAGAATTAAAAAATAAAAACAAAAGAATAAATTAATTAATTTATAATATAAAACATAAAATATTTTTCAAGTAATAAAATATTAACTAGCAACTAAAAGAACTTCAACCAATCAAAACACCCCATGAATTTTGATGAATGCCACCTGATTGGGACCACTTTTATGATGTCTCATGTTAGTTGATTGGTTATAAGTGTTTCTGATATCATGCATTTCCAGTATCATAGTTGAACCCACATTATATATAATATTCATATTATATAGAGTATACCATAAAATTTTTATATTATTATATGTTATATAATATAGGATGTTATATATACACTATATTTTCTATTTAATGAGCCCAGCTCAGTGGCCTTGGGTTCAAGCCCAGGCTATTGCCCTATATAGTTGCAAAGCACAACCAAACTTGTCCCATGATCACCCTCGCAATGAATATTTCATCTATGACAGATATAATTGATTGCACAACTATTTCACTAGTTCTATTTTGCTTAAAGAAGCTGTGGAGAATATAACCTAAATTATGATGCACAATGTTCTCTTCTTACACATTGTGCTGTTCTTACATGACTATATTTTTACCAGAAAAATAGACAAGCTAAATATGGTTGTGATGTAAGCTATAAATATGAGGAAGTTCATCTTCATCTGGTATCTATAATTGTCTTATGAAACCAATAACCAAAACAAAATAATACTATATATCAGATGAAAAACAGTCTCAGATGAATTAAGAAAACTGATTAAAAGAATGAAGAACAGAAGGAGACAACAAGAAGAGAAGAGAAAGATTGAGAAGAAAGCATTAAAGAGAAGAGTTGTTCGTTCAGCTCCTCTTTTCCCTAATCCTTTTCATTAGAGATTAATCACTAACTATTAGAATTTACAAGTAAGCCCTTAGTTGGGCGGCAAGCTAATTAAACATAAACATAAACTAATGTTAACAAGCCCATAAAGAAAGAGGCCCATTAACAGAACAAAACATAAACATAAAATTAAAACATAAGCTGTGGGCTATGGGCCATTCGGCCCATCTTCTCTACACTCCCCCTCAAGTTGAGCATAGATGTCAATCATGCCCAACTTGCCTGTATCATGCTGTAGCTTGGCCTAGGAGACTCCTTTGGTAAAAATGTCAGCTAACTGTTCTTCAGATGCAATGAAAGGTAGACAAACTTCCCCAAAAGCCACTCTTTCTCTAATGAAATGCTTGTCAACTTCAATGTGTTTTGTTCTATCATGTTGTACAGGATTGTGAACAATGTTAATGGTGGCCTGATTGTCACAGTACAACATCAGTGGTCTGTCATACTCAACACCCAATTCCTTCATCAGGGATCGAATCCAAAGCAACTTAGAAACTCCATGAGCCATACTCTACCTCAGTTGAAGATCTAGCAGCCATAGATTGTTTCTTCCTTCTCCAAGAAACAATATTACCTACAACCATACTACAATATCCCGAAGTTGACCTCCTATCGTCAATGTTACCTGCTCAGTCAGTATCTATATAGGCCTCTAGTTTCATATGCCCATGCTTAGCAAAAAGAATACCTTTGCCTAGAGTACTTTTCAAGTAAAATAAAATCCTCTCCGCTATTGCCATATGTGTATCTCCAGGCATGCATGAACTGGCTAATGCATCTAACAACATATGCAATGTCAAGATGAGTCATACATAGATATAGCAATTTCCCTAGTAACCTTTAAAGCACTATCCTTCAATAGTTCCCCATCAGAGGCAGAAAGCTTGTGACTTGTATCAGTAGAGGTAGTAACCGGTCTTGCACCCATTTTACTTGTTTCAGAGAGCAAGTCTAGCACATACTTGCGCTCAAAAAATAGAAATACCAAGTACCAACCTTCATAGTTCCCTAACAGCACAACTGCGTCTTACCCGATACCTGGGAGAAATAGAGAAATAGCAGCCGCTCCCTGTAGGCTTCACAGAACTGAGCTATGCTTGGTTCGATCTTCAAGATGAAGACTCCCGTGAGACCCGCAATCAGAACTCTCCAATTGATTAGGGTTTTGGGCAAAAAATCCAAAAATTGTTTAAATGATGAACATGATATCTCCTTTCCTCCAAGAAACCACTACCAATTGGGCTGAATGTCTTCTTCAAACAATCATTGATTTAGCTCTCCATACACAATGTGTATGGAAAAAAAAGGAAAAAAGGGAAAAGGGGCCTACTCTGATACCAAGATGAAAAACAGTCCCAAAAGAATTAAGAAAACTGATTAAAAGAAGGGAGAACAGAAGAAGACAACAAGAAGAGAAGAGAAGAGAAAGATTGAGAAGAAAGGGTTAAAGAGAAGAGTTGTTCGTTCAGCTCCTCTTTTCCCTAATCCTTTTCATTAGAGATTAATCACTAACTATTAGAATTTACAAGTAAGCCCTTAGTTGGAAGGCAAGCTAATTAAACATAAACATAAACTAACGTTAATAAGCCCATAAAGAAAAGGCCCATTAACAGAACAAAACATAAACATCAAATTAAAACATAAGTTGTGGGATATGGGCCATTCGGCCCATCTTCTCTACAGTATCATATGAAAATACTTTTAGCAACTAGAACAACAAGATTTTTTAGTCAATAAGAAAAGAAATCCTTTTAATTAGGATGACTATCATTAATGCAGTCTATTTCTTATGATACAATCAACAACTACTACTAGGGGTAAGCATGGGTCGGTTTAGTTCCAAGGCAGAACCTCGAACCTACCTACAGGGGGAAGTTCCAAGATTAGTTCTCACCTAGGTGATTCCAAGGTTTGCCCTTGGATCCTGTTCTTTACCCCCCCCCCCCCCCCACCAATAAAAATGGAGCATGTTCTTTAAAAACTTGATTTTCAATTATAATAATAACAATAATAATAACAGTTCAAAACTAATATCAACTTTATTGATTAAATTGAGTAATTTTTTTATAGAACTTAATTTTGATGGGAGCAACCTCGGTAACCCAGGCCCTTCAGGCATTGAGGGGTCTCTTTAGGGATAAAGGGAATATATTAGCCATCTTCTTGGGTCCTATTGGCCTAGGAAATTCCACTAGAGCTGAACTGCTTGCTATCCTGTGTTGGGGTCAAATAGCAAAAGAGTTAAATCTAGAAAGGTTGGTTGTTGAAGGAAACTCTCAAGTGGTGGTTAGCTGACTAAAGGATGTAAAGAAGGCAACTTAGATCTACTGAGAAGGGTTAAGAAAATCAAATGGTTATTAAGGGGAATGACTGTAACTTTTCAATGGGTTCCAAGGGACGCAAATGTGCTAGCAGATTCTCTAGCTAGTCAAGGGATTGATAGGGAACAACTGTACCGGGTAGGGGTGTTCACGGTTCGATTTGGTGTGGTTTGCAGAAGATCTCAGACCAAACCAGTAAATTACGGTTTGAGAAATTTCTAAACCGAACCAAACCGTTTTGGTATGGAAACCAAACCAAACCAAACCGTTTTATTACGGTTTGGTGCAGTTTCTAATACGGTTTGGGGACTTTGGACCATTCTATGGTTCTTTTGGGCTTAACCCAATTAGAAGGCCCAAATAACTCCCCTAAAAATTAAAACTTAAAACTTTTATTTATTATTTTATTATAAAATAAAGAGTTCATTATATATTGCATTCCATTTAGATATATTATATATAATGTTTATATATCATATATTCGTATTATATATATGTATATAAAATTTCGGTTTACGGTTTACGGTTTGGTTCAGTTTATAAAATTCAATAAACCAAACCGAAACCGCAAACCGCAATTTAGAAAATTCTCAAACCAAACCAAACCGCTTTGTAGTTTGAACTGTATAATGAACACCCCTAGTACCGGGATCATCTATAATTTTTGTACTCTTTGGGGTAACCTTACCCCTTTTATTCCTCATTGGACATTTGTCTGTATTAATGAAATGATTCCCAGTTAACTATCAAATAAATTAAACGAGTAATTTAATTTATAGATTATCATAATATATTAATATATAGTTCAAAATTTAATTATAAAAAAAATTAAAGATCAAAACTTATCATTATAATTTAAATTTTGCAAATATTACCTTTTACATTACTTACTATACACATTCAAATATTAAATTGAAGAAAAAATGATCAAACCACTTAAGTGACTCAATGGTCAAGTGAGACCATGGTCTTTGTAACCACGAGTGCTTGGGTTTAAATCCAAACATCCTCAAAGTATTTTGGGATTTATTTCAAGGCAAGTTTGGCTGCAAGGCCGGTTATCCAAGCTAGTCCGGGTAGGGTAAACCCCTCGACCTTGGAACTGGCAGGGGTGGGGGTCGGTTCCAAGAATTTGGAATCAAACCCTACCAAGTAATTGATTGGGTAGGGTCGGTTCAAGGCTAGTTTGAGCTTTGGCTCTATTTGGTTCCAGGTAGAACCTACCCATTTCCTCACCCCTAACTACTACTAAATAATTTTTATCTTTACAAAATAAAAAGAAAAATCATGGAATTATTTGTACCTTTGTCAATAAGGCCAAGCCCTACTTTTGACTGATATATGGCTCTCATTGATAAAACAATCTTTCCATCAATTAGTTCTTCCACTAGCCTCTTTGTCCTCCGGTCAAAAACCTAGTATGAAGTGACAAAACTATTAATTTAGAAATACCAGCAAATGGAATCACTGATAGATGAGAATTAGAAAGAAAAGGTTATATAACATTTCATAAGAATTACAGAATACATTAACTGACCGCCCTTTTATATTACTAGGTAATCTCTAATCATAACAAAAATAGTACCACAATTAGTGGCATATAAGCACAACAATGAAAAGACTAATTTGTCTAAAATACATGAAACTTGTGTAATGCATTTACTAACAACTTAAGCTCAACAAGCGTATCTTTTGTTGTTCTCTCAATAACAATAAAGTTGATCATATCATGGAATAGGCCAGAGAGTTTTTATTTCCTCTCATAACTTACAAAATTGATATGAAGTCACATATTACCTAGCCCAGACACAAATAGAAAGCTATTAACTCAACTCCTGTACTTAAATAATTATAGAAAAAAAAACACTTTTGCAAAAGGTGTAATCGGATGATAATCTAGTAGAAACAAATTATACAAGTGTTTTTGGCACTGTTGCATTGGATGTTTCATCTTCTGCAGGAAGTTACCTTACCAGAATCACCAATACCAAGGGCTACATCTGTCTGTACAATTCCATGCAGTTTTATAGGGGGTATGTTAATTATTTCATGCATGATTTTAAAGGGTGAAGAGGTGAGGTGGAGAGGCATATGCCTCAAGGCAAGGTGGGGCCAAATCACATTGCCTCAATGACCTCATGGTGTTTTTACAAGGCTTATGACTCAAATAGCATGAGGCATATTGTTGCGGAAAAACCCAAGAAAACAGATTTGAATGGCAATCAAAAAGAAAGTAAAACAGAGATAAAGAGAAACAAGCACAGAGAACACACACAGATTTACGTGGTTCGGCTTATAGCCTAAGTCCACGGGCGAAGGAGGAACAGAAATCCACTATGAAGTTGGTAATGGAGAAGAAATACAGAGTTGTGCCCTCACAGAAAACCCTAAGCCCCAAATACACCCAACGTCCCCCTCGTCTCTCACAAGACTAAGGCTCTATATACAAGAGAGAAAACCCCCAAAAATACATAACTCTTCTTATTCGGATCGGACCTATAAAATAAATATGGATCGGGTCCATACCGCCGCGGGGGCATTTGTGGTGGGCTACGGATTCAAGGCTCAAACATAACACATATGCCTTATGCCTTCTGCCTTAATATAGAGAGGCATAAACTTCAGTTGTTGCCCTTACAAAAATATCAACTGTCAATCTGTATAATCTGGTTTTTTTCTGGGGCGAAAGGCAATACTAGAAATACTTGGGGGTACAGAAGAGAACTTGGAGGTGAAGACAATGAGACCGGCATTCTTTTTCTTTCTTTCTTTTCTCATATCTGAGAAACAAAAATGATATTTGTTATTACCTAATCCCAAGAATTTACAGGAATCAATAGGAGCAGGTCATCACATGATCCGCATGAATTCCATTGTATGAAGTCATGAGACTTGCAAACATTCCTTGGAGACTGAGGCTCTCAGATCTATAAGCTCAACTTAACCTACAAAGTTTCTTGCTTTTTTTCCTTAGAAGATCCTATCCCTTTCCAATTGAATCAACTACATTTTCTGCAAACTCAACCCTTTTCTTCTTTTTGTACCAAAACATTGAAAGAACAAAACAAAGGGCAAGATTATACGAAAGACAACTAATTTAAAGAAATGAAAATACTGGCAAGTGAGAATTGTTGAAAGCCCACTTACCAGAAAAGATGCAAGATTATACAAAGAACTGAGTAGCCATGAGTGATTTCTATGGACAGAAGCCTAAGAGGATTATGGTTTCTGATATAGACAATCCTGTTGCCAAGACTACTTCTGTTGAGCTCAATATTTGAACACACGGTGATGGAGTAACCAAAAAGTAAGAACAAAGATGAAGAAGAAATGAGCAGGGAATAATTTCCTTTTTCTTTCAATAGACTCGATTAGGATAGATATCTCAAATGAAATAACATGATACAATGACAGCCAGTTGCCTCTCTCACCTTGCTTGTCCATATAATGAAAACAGTAGAGAAAAAAAGAAAATTAGATGGGACAGATATATATATATATATATATATATTCACTCTTAACTATATATGCCTACAATACAAGATTAACAAATGGTCCAATAAAAAATAGAGAGACACAGAGAGCTTATTATTTACATTAATTGGTTAGAAACCAAGCCAAATAAGATATGATACAGTTTGTAAAAAATGTTTTGTTGCTTGGCATGTTTCAACCATCCATTGTTATATCAAGTTGTCAGTCACTATTGGAACTAAAAGGAACAGTCTTGATGACATGGCTGAATGTGCACCCATTACTAAAACTAAAAGAATGATCTTGATATTTGATAAATTGGATGAATGGGGAATTTTGTGCCTATGTTTTATGAGGATGAATGACCTCCTCCCTCTATAAACTTTATGGATTAACTATGAGATGACAAAAGTAAGTCATATTAGTATATTCTTCAGAATGGATGGTATTATATTTTCAGGGTAAGTAACTTCTCTTCCTCTAGAAATTATTTACCCTTATCATCTTCTTATACTGCACTTAGGGGCCATTGCATAATGAAATGGTAACATCTCAGACTGACAAGCATTAGAGCATGAGTTCAAGTCAGAAAGCAGCAACTTTGTGCGAAAAATGCCAAAGGCTAGGTCTGTGACCCTGGAGAGCCAGAACAACATGGGGCAGTGGCCTTACCTTCTTATAGTGCATTGTAAAATTTGATCAACAATCTTTGGACTCAAATCTGTGACTGATATTTGTTAGAGAACCAGTATACTATCTAAATTACAGAACATTAGAAACTTTGATGAATTTTCATTTTTGTCTTTTATTGTTGATAGGTTATATTTGTTGAGTGGGCCGATTTATGTTTAGTTTGTTTTCTTTTAAATTAAGAAGTTGTTGGGCCTTGGGCCCATTAGTCTTTTATTTTTAAAAGAATTGTAAGTTCTTAGTTTGAGTTGCCGCCCTACTAGGGGCATCTTTGTAATATCCCATATTTAAGTTAATTATAAATAGAAT